TTGGATAGATACCGTTTATTCTGTAACCTAATATTGATACCATTGGATAGAGCTTGTGAAGCACTTTTAGAATCAGTTATCAGTTTTACGATATCATGTGTAGTTTTTAAAATAATGTGACTTTACCAAATGTATGGAAGCTGGAAACATTGAATTTTCGGATAGATCCAGTTTATTCTGTAACCTATTATTAATACCATTTAATAGAGCTCATGAAGCACTTTTAGGATCAGTAACTACTTTTTTGATATAATGCATAGTTTAGAAATAATCGAGTGAGATCACTTATCGTTTCCACCCTGTATATAGATAACACAATTTATCTAGCCTCAAACTGTACAGACTTTTAATTAACTGATAAATACCATCCATATTGTTTACATTTGAAACTATTCTCCAGTCGTAAATTCAAGGGGATTCGTACCCGCAACCACTTCTGGCGTTATCCAATACCTAAACCACCAGGTCAAAGCAAGCGTCATACGTTCACAGAACTTGTTCAACTAACTAGAGTACTAGACTTGCAACGCACTACCTACCAGTACAATTGGATGCACAAGCTAAGCTGTTTACATGAAGTTGTATGCGGGTCGTATAAGTTAGGCTGGGTTGCACCATCTTACATTAACTTTGACAAACGTCAAAAATCTGTCAAACTCCATACAAAAAACACCGGTTACCGTTATAGTTACTGTCATAGTTAGGTGGTGCAACTCAGCCTTAGACTGTGTTGGCTAAGCTCTGTCACTGTCACATGAAGACTAAACAATAGGTACATGTCGTGAATGTTAAACTTTGTTGTAACAAAATAAGGCAAAAATTACCGAAGCTTTGTTTGCACTGCAAAGACAAGAAAAGGCCCATTTAGCTCTAGCCTATGGCGGAAAGATGAAAATTGTTTAAAGACATCCTCCTCCATCCTCCATCCAACTTATGTAAGTAAATCCTACTACGAGTAGTTTTAACGCGAATGTTGTCAAACATGGCACTATTAACAAAACTTGGTTATTTCGAATTACGAGTGTAAGGTTGAGTTGCACCACCTAACTTTAACGGTAACTATGACGATAACCGGTGCTTTTTGTATGGAATTTGACAGATTTTTGACGTTTGTCAAAGTTAAAGTATGATGGTGCAACCCAGCCTTAGTTAATAATTTTAATTAGCATGAAGTTGTCGTTCCTACAACACCGCGGGGATTTACTGGGACGTTTTAATACTGAAAAATAAACCACAGCGTCACATCCTTTAATACACTGTCATATGTTTGATTTGCCCCATTCATCGTGCTCCCTGCTCCATACTAAGCTTTCCGATTGCATGAATGCATCTCTGCCAACCTCTTTGCCTGCTGCTTTATAACGATAAAACTGCTCACAGAGATATACCACAAGGAGATTTGTGACGTTACATCTGGTGTAGTTCTTTGACAAGACCAAAGGCTTAATATCAGAACTTCAGAAACGATTTATGAAGTCAAATAGTTTTTATCAGTCAAAAAAAAGTACACAAAAATATTTTTTCGCCACGTTTTAAAGTAACAGTACTACTTACGCTCCCAAGATATTTTGAAGCGGTTTATTATCCCGCAAACCGTCCCATATTTCAAGGCATTGTTGAACAACAATAGCGCTTCAATAGTTCTTGAACTGACCATTAATGCACTATTGATCGATAAATCCTTAAAATTGTTAAAGCTATTAAAATTTGTAAGCGATTAGAGTCGCTTCTCAAATTAAATTTTAAATAAACAACTTTAGAAAATCGAACTCTCTAAGGCGGGAATCGAACCTACTTTACGAACGACCTTTCTCTTTCTGGGCGATTCCCGGCCTTGGGCAGTTAGATTTTTTCAAGTTGTAATTAAAATTTGTTAATGCTAAAGTTACAAAATGTTTCGATATGAGTAGTAAAGCATCGCATGTTCACGAGAAAATTTATTCCATGCAAAATTCTCTGTTTGTAAAAATAGAAGCTAAATCCTAAATCATTTCATGAACAGCTCTACTAAAAGACCAGAGTGACAAGAATCAGAGCATTAGAATATTAGGCATATCCAATTTTTATATCGTGCCAAAATAAGAAGCAAACAAATTGCTTACTCATACATAATTCAAATATACTCGTATGTACAGTAACACCTAATAGAGTAACAGAAATTCCCAAGATTTTAGTTTTATCTGTAGGCTTATCTTCTTCTTCTTATCGTGTCGACAACAAACCTACACAGTGTCAACACTGTCAGCCCAAAACTCCACTACATGAAGGCTTATTATGACCATTCTCAATATATTTTCGATAATCCACGTCATAATATCGACAACATCCAAGCAACGGAATTTAAGCGGCAATTAAAGGGGATTAGATTCAAAATCCAGGTAACAAAATTCGTGTTAACGCGAGGGTTGTGCAGCGTTAATAAATCATTTATGAATAAATGAAACGGCACCAATAAACGGTAATGACATTTCGAAGCTTGATTTAGGTTATGTAAACTAGATACCAAACTAAACACTAACTGTGTTTGTCAACTATTATTTCTACATCCATCCATTCTATCGATACTTTATCGATAAATCATAGACATTAATTATACCGATGATATCGACTTTTCGATAATTTTATCAGTAAGTAGTGTTTTTTTTCTAGTAACAAGTAAGCAACTTTTTGATGCGATAGTAAATATTTAACTACATTGCAGTCGTTAACTCATTTTTAGTGGTTTTTCATTATTGACAGCTCTTGCCTGTGTTTCTCTACTAATTACTTGTTGCCAATGACCAATGAGTGAACAATCAACGGAGCAGATTGTAATTTTTTGCCCGTATTCACGAACATTAATGAGGTCTCACAGTGTGCGCGGCGTGTGGACACACAGGGTGACACACGGCCAATCACAGAGCTCTATTCAACCAACGCTGAGCGTTCGATTTGCTGCTTCACTTAAGCAAGCATCGTTTGTGAATACGGGCTTTAGAGTATTATAATTATGCACCGTATACCAACGTTAGAAGGACCTTATTTGCTTGAGCTATTATCTGCTGTGTCCTACGTCAACTTTATCTCAGTATAGTATGCTAAAGGTTTGCGCATACGAAATTGTGTTGGCATCGCCTCGTAATCGTAGGGCAAAGTCGGACGTCGCAAATTTGCAAGCGTAATACGGAACGCCATGTGTATTCCAACAGACTGAAGTCCTAAACTGGTACTGGATTAAAAGCGCTTAAACAATAATAATAAAATAATATGGCTTTTGTATTTTCCTTTAAAAAACTTTAAAAATTTGCCACACTGGCACTGGATGCGTTCTATTCAGTACAAAGTGAACGCAGCCCTCATCATGTAGTATGAACAATATTGACGGACTCTAAGCGCTTAAACGACATAGAAAGAATAAATAATAATAAATATGGCTTTTGTATTTTACTTTAAGCATTCTGCGATCTGCCTTCAGGTCAAAATGAACGCAGTCCGTATGTAGTATAAAAAAAATTTGACGTACATACATTTTGCATCGATGCGATCTGATCATGCCCGAGCAAAGAACGCAAACTGACAGGTGCGGGCTGCGTTCATTTAACCTGATTCCAGACCGCAGACCGCATCCAGTGTGACAAATCCTTATATTTTTCCGTGGGCATAATTAAAAATGGACTCAACCGAGAATGGAACTTAAGACGCAATGGGTTGAAAGCGATTCTTCGCTCCATTACGCCATCGAGAGCCATTGGAGCCAAGTGCGGTATGAGCGGTAACTTTCTCAATTTTCAGATGAGTCACTCTGTTTAAAAGCAGAGATAACGTCTTGATTTTTATTAATTTAAAAACTTTGAGGCTGACGTGCAAGTATTTTAAGCCAACGGAACTATTTTGATATTAAATAGATGTCAAGTTATATCTCCTTTAATATCTTTTACTTGTAAAAGATTACAGTTTCAAAGCGAGTTTTAGATAATATAATCGATTTTGGACAACAAAGGTAGGATTATAATAATGAGTTTAATAAGTTTTACGTACCTAACTCAAACCTTAAAATCTTATAAGCAAGTAAAAATAATCTGGAACTAATTCCGAAGCTATAATTTGGACAACTTTATTCTAAATACGGTCTTATTAACCTCCAGCTCATATAATTACAGATATTGGTTTCTTCAATGCTTTTTAACAGAGTTCTTACCAAGTGACTTTGTTTCTGCGTTGAGTAAAGTGCTTACTGGATAAAATTACGTCATTTATGGAAATTACGAGAAAGGGAATAAGGCCATTACCAGACCAGTGTCTTTATCCTTTGAAGGCGATTACTAAGCCATCACTTTCAAGACTCAACACAGTTCAAGAATTCAGCTTTATTTTATTTTTAAAAGGCGGCGGAATTTCTTTTGAATATAGGCATGATGGGTTTCGGAGTTCTGGTTTTTTCTTTTAAAAGGTTGGACATTCGTTTTGACGTTGAGAATAATTTGAAATGACATACTTTTAGCTACTCTGCAAAACTGTGTGTAACTCGCTTTCACATTTAAATCTTCGTTTGCGATGCCATATACAGGATTTGGTTGACATACGCTGCTAACAAGACGTTTATGTAACATTTTTGGTATCATTTCAAATGGTGAAACGAGTTCTAGGAATTTTAAAATAACCTTTTTGACAAAAACTTTTTTAAATGGTCCTTTAAAAATAACCTCAACGCGATAATTGCATCAAGCAAATTAAACTTACAAATGGTAAGTATTGATATCATAAATGGCTTCAAAGCACTAATTTCCCATGGTACAATAACACCCAAAGTTATTATAACTTTATCTCAATCATATCTTTAACCTACATTGAATTGTACCAATCAATATAAAATTGATTCCCCAAACTAATATTAACTGTAACTATTGCTGAAAACCGTACCAACTTGGAGACTGTATACTGAACCGAACGTATGAATAGACGACTCGCTCCCGTTCGTTTCCGACGGCACTCGACTCTCACTTCAGTAGTACGCAGCCTCTGTGCGGGGCAACACCGCTCCGTCCGCGTCGCGGCCACGTCACGCTATCGTGAGGAGTGCAGTGATAGTTCAAATAAGTGCTACACGTTCATGCATGCCTGGTACTTTAATTAATTATGAGTTGAAACGTAAGTACTTTTTTAACAAACTTTTTGAGTTCAATTATCTCAACGCAACTTTTATGACGGTTGAGGCGTGCGTATGAAATAAGTTTTCTACTCGAAATAAAAGTTTATAAGCCGGTGCTTTAAACACCTAGGCCGACTTTATGTATTAACGTTCCGGTTTATGCCAACTCATTGCCGTCATCGTTACGACGGAGAGACGTGAAGTAACATCAATAATATCCGTGTCTATACCCGGTTACAGTTACGCCATTTTTATGACGGTAAATTTACACCATGACACGTCGTGAAATTGTTACAGAGTCTGGAACTAAAGGAAATTGGTTTCTGAGAGAACATAAAGATGAAATATTACACACATTCTTTCATATTCATGTGACTTCACGGTGATCTGTGGTATACTGCCTTTTAAGCATCCATTCTAAGAAATGTTTTTTTTAAATAAGATTATTGTATAAAAACATTGGTAATTAAGGTTATCCCTGTACTAAAATATTTTTTATGTTCATTTCTTATGAATATCGTAACGAATGTTTAAAATTAAAAGCATAAATGAGATTAATGTTTCCCTTACCCATGTAATTATGTAATAAACATAAGCTTGTTTTTCTTTTTACTTTGATCAAAATTAAAAATGTCACTGTATTTTCCTTCCTCCTTAACATTTTTCATTCATGCTATATTTTTATACTTTTTTACGCCAGAAAGCGACACACCTTGTCTTGCTTAACATTTTTAAAAATCAATTAATATTTTATTTAATGCAATATGAAATGATTTACATGACTTCTAACTCTCAAGCCACATGATACCGAGCCGCTAAATAAATTGCTTTCAAAATTACTTACATACCTTCATAAAGCCCTAAAACCAAAGTTTTATCTTGATCAAACTGATTAATACAATGAATTTTATTTGTCGTTGTTACGTTATTTAACTACCACATGGCCTGAACAAACAAATGAATTCAGATATACAGATATATAGTTTTACTAACATCCACGAGTTGGATTTCAATTAAAATAATTTGCAAACAATTTTAAAACACATTATTATTTTTAGCCGTAATTCTACGAGAGAGGTACTGCAACAATAAAAATATCAATTTGTATTTAGATACAAGAAACATTTTAATATCAACTAAAAGTATATAGCCATATTAACAAACATTACTGACCTCACAGTGCGTGTGGACGCACAGGGTGGCACACAAACCAATCACAGAGCTCTATTCAGCGCTGTGCGTAGATTCGCTGCTTCATTTAGGCCCAGTTTTTTGATTCATAGTTAAAATAACAAATTGTTAAATTTTGCTACTAATGGTTAAATATTAACAAAATGTTAACTAATAGTTAAAAAATGTACTAAAAGTCAAGGTAACCATTGTTCGAAAAACATTTTCTTCTGATATTTAACCACTTGTCATTTGACATCTGTCAAATTTGACCATTGGTTATTTTAACTAGGAATCAAAAAACCGGGCCTTAAGGAAGCATCTTTTATCTACGGGCGTAAATCTATCCCAACTAATATTATAAATGCGAAAGTTACTCTGTCTGTCTGTCTGTCTGTCTGTCTGTCTGTCTGTCTGTCTGTCTGTCTGTCTGTCTGTCTGTCTGTCTGTCTGTCTGTCTGTCTGTCTGTTACGCTTTCCCGCTTAAACCTCGCAACCGATTTTGATGAAATTTGGCATAGAGATAGTTTGAGTCCCGGGAAAGAACATAGGATAGTTTTTATCCCGGTTTTTGAAACAGGGACGCGCGCGATAAAGTTTTTCTGTGACAGACAAAATTCCACGCGGGCGAAGCCGCGGGCGGAAAGCTAGTAACTACATATAAGCTTGCGTCAGTGACTTTTTACCGGACTTATCTCGTAGCAAGCTTCGTAGCGTGCTACGAACTACGGCTCTTATCTACGCTGTACATTCGTAGCATGTTGCGTTATACAGGGTGACTTTGTAAACAGTATCCGATTTTTTTATAAGCTCTATAGAACAATTTAACAATTCAACTTTATCTATTTTTTTTAATCGTGATAGTTTTCGCAAAAAAAAGTGTAATTCGCGGCTTACAGCTTATTTTCGCGCACCATTATGTCTATTAAGCTTTGCAGTAAACTGTATGTAACCTATGAACGAAGTAAATAACCACGTGTGCCAATTTTGAACCACGCGCAGCTGATCAAATTATAATAAAATGTGAAGAAAACAATTTCTTTGCTTAAATCTATTAAGTTATTGATTCTGAGTCGCTCCTAAAAACTTGGACAAAATCTCCCAATCAGAAATGTGTAAGATATCACGGTGTTAAGCTTGTCTTATACCATCGCCTGTAAAAAATAAATTAGTATACTAAAGCTTATTTATTCAAACAGGTAACTGGTAAATATGTTCTAGGAATAGTCAATAGTAATCAACACAATATTACTTATTTGTTATTCTATATCAACCCGGGTTACAATGATCCGTGTGAACACTAGCAGTAATTATTATAACAAGTAGGTAGTGAAGTAATGGATGTCTTATTAGATTATGTATGATACGGTCGGGAATGTTATTATGTTATTATCCCGCATTACTTTTGATATACATATCTTGTTAGTGTGATAACATGTCCTGTGTTGTTCTGTATAACCTTTGTAATTTATATTTGACTTTTGCGCTTATGTTCTTAAAGAAAAGGTTTAAAGTACAATAAACATCTTCTGCCTGTTGGTGATACTTAGTTTTTGCGATATTTTCGTCAGTTTATATTATTTCATCATCATCATCATCATTTCAGACACAGGACATCCACTGCTGAACATAGGCCTCCCCAATTATTTTTATATTATTTGGCACATTTTTATTTTGGCAGTAAAATGACATCTTTTAGAAGTACCTTTATCACTTTTATGTGACTTTCAAAAATATTAACTATTTTCGTTTCAAATTAAGTTATAAGAGATTAAGCTTTATTTAGCATCAGACAACAATTAATCACTCACAACAAAAGGCACTTCACACAACATTATCTCAATTATTCAACATCATTCTTCAATTCAGCCTCCAGACTTTACACTTTCACCGCAATTCATCACGTTGACAACCCTTTTCGTATTTTCTAAGGGCCCTTTTCCACGGCGATCCGGTGATGCAGGATCCCGAAAAACTGGACTTGTGAGTTCCTACGGCAGTTTGCGGTACGGGTGTTTGCAAAAAATATATGCAGTACCGTCACATCTTCCGCAAAAAATATATGCAGTACCGTCACATCTTCCGCAAACCTCGTCTGGGGCTGGTACTGCCGCTGCATCAGCGGAATCCCTCAAGCGACGCAAATATGTAGGTCTTAGTAGTACCTACATGTTTGAGCCATTTGGGGTCGAGACGCTAGGTCCGTGGGGACCAAGTGCTCATCGCCTGTACAGGGAATTAGCCAAGCGGCTGATTGACTGTACAGGTGATAGAAGAGCTGGCGCATTTCTTGGCCAATGAATCAGTTTGGCCATTCAGCGTGGAAATGCAGCCAGCATTCTGGGCACCATGTCGCGTTGTTTGGATAGCGATTTGGGACATATTTTTTATTTGTAAATATTTAGTCTATGTAGGTTAATTATTTGTATTAGTTTAAAACTGTAAATAATATGTATAAAAAAGTGTTGAAAAGCGGTGCAGTAAGTTACTAGTCTAGTTGCTAGGCTGGGGCAGGAAAGTTCTTAAGTAAAACGTAGCGTTAGCAGGCCTTCCACTAGGTGAACCGACGATCCGGTGAAGATCGCGGGAGGTGCCTGGATGCGAGCGGCGCAGGACCAGTTTTTATGGAAATCTGTGGGGGAGGCTTTTGTCCAGCAGTGGACGTCTTTCGGCTGAAACGAACGAACGAAGTTGCTAGAGGGAAATACGAGTACTTATAATTAAACTGGATCCTGTTTTTTACTGGTCCAATTTAATGAAGAAACTTAATTTGAAATTCAAACGGGATGTTCGTGTCAATCAATGTATGTAATGCTAGTATTAAAACATCTTTACTGCTAAACGGCATCCTGCAAAAAAGAGTACCTGCCAAAAACGGGATGCCGCCGTGGAAAAGAGCCCTAATAGGGTTCCCCCCGCTAATACGTGATCTGAGAACATCGTGCCTATCCTGAGAGCAATCTAAGAAGCTTATTGTCAACACCAAACCACTTTCATTCCTATCGCAAAGCTGTTTTTATAGACAGAGGGAAAATGTTTCGCTGAAAATCCCTTTTCAAAAGGGTTTTTATCTCAAAGGAAAAATTGGGCGTCACATCTTATTTTATTGGGCATTTCATGCCCTAAATGCCTATCTAGAATAAGTTTTCGTCACTCTTGTAGTCCTGTCTCGTCTGTAGGCTATTGTAGACTAAACTCAGTATATATTTTTGTTTTCCTTCAAATATTTGCTGGAATTTTTGTTTTGTTAAGCGTAGTAAATCTCAGACAACTCTTTTAGGTCTTGAAGCACCTAAAATGATTTATCATTCATTCAAAACATTACCAACTTGGAATTTAGATAAACTTTGACACAGATAGATCGTTCTTCATTCAAGTTATAACTGAAAGCAGTTTGTGAGTGGAAAGCTTTGTCTGTGCTTGCTTTTTGACGTCTTTCTGTCTGGTGGATCGTCTACTGGGTTCTAATAACAGTTTCAGTTGTAGGTTTTAATCATACTAGGGATAGATTTATATACTTTAATGAGCATGGACACGGTTTAGAGATAACAAGTTGGTTTTTGTAATTTATGTAAACATCTTAAGCACACAATTCTTGAGAATTATTTTTATAACATACTTAATAAACTTGAGTAACTTTAAAATTGGAAATGTATGCTATCGACTTCGGTTTCACTGAATGTTACATCATCGCTTAGGTATTTAAACCTTTTTAGAAGATATCTATTTTTTTAACTCGAGGAAAATGGCAGCTGTTATTAATTCATTTCACCACAGCAGACTATAAAAACAACTTTTGCTTGGACATTTTTATGAATAGAGCAAACCC